AATTCAAGTAGGGAATAGACTTCAATGTTCAATAAACACATTAACACATACATATATTTTTTAAATAATAAAGATGCAAAAACAATAATAGAAATAGCAAAATACAAAGAAAACTGTTTCAAAACAAGAGAGGTAAAACTGAAAACAATATAGTCAGCTAACTCAAGATAAGGTCATGTACATGCATTAGTAAACCAAACATTCACCAACACAAATATGGAAAAGATTCCAAATTACTTTATCATTCATTTTTTTTCTACTTTTATTTGCTTGTTTGATTGTGTGTATTCTTATTCTCATTTTAATTAATTGTTTGTTTTTATCCACATCTGTATTGCATTTTAGTCAAAATCCCAATAGGGATACGCAATTATTATTATACAGCGTTGCATAGACTAAGCTTATTTCGTATTTTTCATGATCGGCATGAGGCCGATTGGGTACTAGGACGAACGTGAAGCTTTGGACAGCTTATCCACGATATGAAACTGTCTAGTAATCATGAATGTTGTATCAGAGAATTTACTCCGTTTTCATACACTCGTATACTACAAGCAGAGTAGGAAATGTAGTGTAATTTCTACCGTATATTATTTCGCCGTTAATAATTTCAAGAACTCCAATGTAGTGTAATTTCTATCGTATATTATTTCGCCGTTAATAATTTCAAGAACTCCGATGTTGTGTAATTTCTATCGTATATTATTTCGCCGTTAATAATTTCAAGAACTCCGATGTTATGTAATTTCTATCGTATATTATTTCGCCGTTAATAATTTCAAGAACTCCGATGTAGTGTAATTTCTATCGTATATTATTTCGCCGTTAATAATTTCAAGAACTCCGATGTTATGTAATTTCTATCGTATATTATTTCGCCGTTAATAATTTCAAGAACTCCGATGTTATGTAATTTCTATCGTATATTATTTCGCCGTTAATAATTTCAAGAACTCCGATGTTGTGTAATTTCTATCGTATATTATTTCGCCGTTAGTATTTGTCAAGAACTCCGATATAGTGTAATTTCTATCGTATATTATTTCGCCATTAATAATTTTCAAGAACTCCGATGTTATGTAATTTCTATCGTATATTATTTCGCCCGTTAAGACACATACATTGAAAAAACATGTTACTAGTTTTTTAATGTACTACAGTTGTCTTCCATTGTCTGTCGTTGACCCCCGCCACCACGTACTCCATCAGCGCCCCGATGGCGGACTTCTTGTCGGGTTTCAATCAGTTTCACTTTTGATCGTGATTGATTCGATATAAATGCAGTTCTTTACCGGAAATCGCCAGTCCGTTTTCTTTGAGTTTAAAAATGACCTACAGTAGGGTTGGCATGGTTAGTCAGTCGCCGGTACGTTCGCCTCCCACTCATAGGCGGTTGTACCGGTTGCCGCTGATTAACTAAGCAGACCCTACTTTAGGTAATTTTTTATTATCCAAGAAACGTCCCTAGCAACAAAGGGACAAAGCGAACCACACAAATGCTTAGAAATATGATCGTAGTGCGAGTTGGTTTGGTGCGAGTTGGCATTGGTGCAAGTTAGCATTGGTGCGAGTTGGTCTGGTGCGAGTTGGTATGGTGCGAGTTGGTTTTGGTGCAAGTTAGCATTGGTGCGAGTTGGTCTGGTGCGAGTTGGTTTTGGTGCGAGTTGGATCGAAATCGGTGTAGAATAGGGGTCAGTAGTTATCTCTTGGAAATACAATGTTATCGATAAAATCAGTACATACCAAATGTGTTCTGAATATTTAAACTTAACATGTGACACAAATATACTACAATATCAACTATTTATTAATAAAAAAAACATTACTGAACTAACTTTGATTGTGCTGACTGCAAAATGGCGACAATGAGGTTGAAACTTGTTCTGTCCACTCACAACAATATTGTGAATTACTTTGTTTTTTTATTCAATGCACGATGCATATTACAAATTAGTAAATTAGGGTTAGGGAAGGTGTGGAACACTGAATGTTGACAATCTATATTTTATGTCATACTCTGACCTATTTCACCTATACCCTGTAATCCCATATTTACTATTTCGCTCATACAGACTTATGAGGCATTTTCTTTTTGTTTAGTCAATCTTGGTGTAAAATTAAAATTAAGATTATTAAGGTCATTGTAAAGTTTATTCATCACGCAAGTTGTCGGTATGTACAATTTGTATCACAAAAAATGAATTTTCAAGAGTCCCTACAAACAAGTTTCAGAAATGTCCTTTTTTAGTCCTTTGGACCAACGGTCCAACGGACTAATGCTATCACAATTTGTAGGCCGTAGGCCGTGTGCTGTAGATAAAGATATCTCAAAAACCCTTCAGTCTATTTTTCTGAAACTTGGCATTGTGATAGCTTGTGTGAATATCTCCAGGGCATTTTTTTTTTATTTGACTTGAATCATTTTAAAATTACTTTTTGGCCCAAAAACCTTCCAAAATCAGGCTTTTCTAGTGTAGGTAATCTCTGTCCAATTATCATACATGGTGAGTGGCACAATTTGCATAGTAAAATTTTGCGTTATTTTTTCTGATACACACTTCTCTTATCAAATTGTAGTTTCATAATAAAGAATGTATATTATTTGATGTATTCATGTATGTTGTGATGGTTTATCGCATAAATTATTCGTTTAATGATAGATTAAATAGTACTAATTCGAATTTATCACGCATGCGCAGTTACGCATAAAATCACCATTGGACGATATGGCAGTGTGATTCGATGTCTCAAATTTTGCTATGAAAATTAAAGTATAATAATTGTTTTGATAGAATACAATGCGTGATGTGTATTT